AACAGCGTGATTTGTGGGTAAGATCTGATTTGTATATTGACCTGGGTCTGGGGCTTGGTCCTTTGGGATCAGGAGAACCTTTTTCTTTTACTGGGGTCTTGGTTTTCATAATCATTTGTCCCCATAACGAGTGGCACTGGTGGTGATACTGGGAAACTGGAGTGTCTAAGGAGATTGCTTGTGAGACTTGCGGTTAGCCAGTGGGGTGAGACCGAAGTCCTCTTAGCCTGGCTGGTTTGGTTTGCCTTAGAGGTGGAAAAACCCCAGCCTTGGGCTGTAACTGCCCTGTTTGAGCAATTTGTCCTGAGTTGGCACTCTCAGTTGGGTTCCGCCAGAACCGCATCGTCACACCTTGGAATCAGAGAGGATCATGTCAGGATCATATCCCTTGGTTCATCTAGCCCAGCCCCCCATGCCTAGACAGGAAGGATCCTTTCCAGGACCGTATCTAACCTTCATTTGACATCTCACACCCTGGGGAAGGATCTTGGCAAGCAGAACTCCTGGGTATTTCACATCAAGGGGTTTGGGTCTGAGGAGCATTGTTGTCCATCAGCAATTTTCAAAGAGCCATGGGTCCCCTCGGGGCCCGTGAGTCGGCAGCTCCTCCCCACCCCCTGCCAAACAAGAGCCAAGTTGAAGGCTGCTCCTCAGTAGAAGGGTCTAAACACAAAGGAAACTGACCTGCCCATCTCTTCCAGATCACAAGACCTGCTTCTGCCAGAGGGAGTGGGAGCAGCAGCTGCTGCAGGTAAGGGTCAGAGAAATGGAGGGCTGGAAAGGAACTCAAGAGGTCATCTAGTCCAGCCCCCTCCACGCTGAGGCAGGATTAAGAGGCCCCTCAGCAGCACTACATTGTGGGACAGAGGAAGCGGCTGAGTCCAGCAGATGCAATTGGAGAAGCACCAGGGGCAGCTCACAAGGATTCAGAAGCATTAGGAGAGACGTGGGGGGTGACAGTGCACGCTCCCTCTTCCCCTCCCCTCCCAGCTGTGGTGGGTTCCTGGCTGGAGCTATTGAGAGGACCAGTTTCTTGGCCCCTCTCGGTTCTAACTGGCTCTTCTTTCCCTGGCAGTTCCTGGAAGACCTTCTCTTCTTCATCTCGGACCACACCTGGCTGGGCTGTTTCATCACTAGTATCAGGCGCCAGCTGGCCTACGGTGATAAGCGGCCCGGTGACACGGTCAGTGTCCTGGAAGGAATTGGGGTTCAGTGCCTAGTTCAGAACAGCAGTCGCTAACCAGGGGCAGCTTGGGGTCAGTGAAGCAGACAGCTATACCCAGTGGGCTCTGTGCATGCCAGGCTGTGCCCAATGCATCCAGCATGATGGTGTCTCTTTCGCAGAGCTTTCTCTACAAGTGCTGGGGCACCGTGCTGATGTTTTTTCCAGCAGAGAGCATCAAGCCCCAGCTATGGCTTCTGGTGGAGATGGTCGATTTCCGAGAAGAAGAGGAAAGAGAGGTGAGGTCTTTGCTCCTCCACTGTCAAGTGATCCCTCATTCTTTGTCAATCCCCTGATGCTACATGTGTATGTTCTGCCTTGGACAAGGTCCAGTGGATTGAAAAGATCTTCCTTATACCCATGCCCATGGCAATGACTTGGAGAGCCCATCCTGGCCCCTTGGCTTGTTGCTCAGCATTCCTAACCTCCATCTTTCTGTCTCTCAGGGATTCGCCCGAGCGCTTGGGCTGTGTGCCAGGCAACAGCTATATGAGGTTTTCGCCATCCTGGAGCACTGGGAAGAGTTTGTCAGCAGGGTGCAGCTCCAGCCTTCTGCCGGTGGCTCTCTGGAGGTACGGTCCCACCTAGCATCTCTGCTCTTTCATCCATCCCTTCACCAGCCTTTGCAGGTAAAGGGACCTGCCAGGGAGGACCCTGCTTCCCAGAAGCCTGTTCAGCGAAGAGCTGAATTTCCAAGCAGTGGCTCAGCCTCTGAGGAGGGAGCCCTTTCCTTACTCCTCTGTGGAGTTGCAATCTCAGCACAATGGGGTGGATCCAGGGGGGAAGGTGGGTCCTGTTGTCTAAGCTCTCCAGGGTATCTCCTGGGGAGCTCAGACATGCTCCACACAGCCCCATAAACAAGGCTCAGAGAGGGCCCAAAAGACACTGCCATGCCATCAGCTCCAGCTGACACATTTCTCAGCAGAACAGACCCTTGGTCTTCCCCTGAACTGGGCTATTTCACAGACCTTCCTGGCAGACTCACCAGGGCTGGCATGTCTGACATTAACCTGCGTCCCCCCTCTCCCGGCACCACCACCACCACCTTCCCAGTAACTCTCTGGGCCAGTGCAATCCACTGTAGTCCCAGTGACATCTCTGGAGCTAGGCTGAATTAAAGCAGCTGCTAGTGCGTCCCCTTCGGCTGCCGGGTCACCTCAACCACCCAATCCTGGGGAGCTGGGAAGGGCCTCGGAGTCCAGGCAATTCAGCTCAGCAGAGTAGCCTTTGGTGGCTAAGCCGGCTGGATGAAAAATCCTCCCCTGGCCCCAGTTGTAAGTTAGGAGCAGCTGGAGGCCATCCCTTCTCCTCACTCTTTCCTTTGCAATTCTCAGGAGCCAGCTTCCACTGAGCAGCTGAGAAGCCTCCTGCTCCTCACCTATGGGCACGTGGTCCACTCACGCCCCACGGATCTCATCCTAGAGACCATAGGCTTCAATATCCTGGCTCCCATGTGACACCACTATTTTCTGAGCCCACACGTAAGTCAGAGCCCTCCCCTGACCGCCCACACAGCACCTACCCGGGCTGTGCACAGCAGCACAGAGCTATGTCTTTGCATAAACTCCGCTCAGAGGGCTGGCCCTTTGCCCCAGGAGGGACAGGAGACATGGGAACAGCACCACTCTCTGTGACTGCCCCATCTCAATTAGCTTCTCTGATTCCAGGCCCATGGAAGCTAATGGAAGGACTCCCATCTGGGCCTTGTTAGAGTGTAACTGAGCATCACTTGGTGCTATTGTCCCAGTGACGACTGTACCCTGTTTGGTACCTCTAGGCTTGTGCTGCACTCAGGGATCAGAAGATAAAGATTTAGGGCCCGTTTCCCCACACACTGCAGTCGATGGTGTAGCTGGGCACAAAAGGCGCACGGAGGGATTCAGGCCCCTAGCCCGGTTGACAGGCTCTGGTGCTGAAGGGGGATTTTTGAGATAACTCTAGGTTGTTTTCTTGCCATCGGAGGTTTGAGGCCGACGTTCAGTCCTACACTGGTTACGATGCCCATATGCGCGTCCCAGCGAAAAGGAGAGGGGGATGCTACTTTGGTTTAACTGAATGTTCTCCTTGGAGAACGGATGCCTTGGTAGGGAGAGCCCAGCCAACTGCAGAGAGCAGCAGATTCCTGTCCCAGATCAGACAATTACGACCTGATTGTCAGGGGAGCTGAGCAGCCCCAGGGACCACTGACAGCTCTGGGAACTGCAAGTGCTCAGCACCTCTGGGAATCAGCCCATTCCTTGCATTCATCTCCAGAGATATTCCCCTAGGCCAGGGGTTCTCAAACTGGGGGTCGGGACCCCTCCGGGGGTCACGAGGTCATTACATGGGGTCTCGCGAGTTGTCAACCTCCACCCCAAACCCCGCTTGCCTCCAGCACTTATAATGGTGTTAAATATATTAGAGAGGGTGTTTAATTTATTAGGGGGGTCACACCCAGAGGCTTGCTGTGTGAAAGGGGTCATCAGTAAAAATAGTTGGAGACCCACAGCCCTAGGGAATGCAAAGATGTTCCACTCGGCAAACCAGGTCCTTTCCCTTAGGGCGTGAGGGCAATCCCGCCTAGGACAGCAGCTCCCTTGTAGAGACTCGCTCTGTAGCCTTGTGTTTCAGCTCTCTATTGCCTGTGGCTGTTTCCTCATTGTTCTCTCCCCCTCCTGCCTGTGAGCCCAGGACCCACTGGTGAGATCTGCTTTTCTGAGAAGCCTCGCGCTGGTGGGTGAAGCTGTCACCCAAGTGAGCAGGATTCCCTTGGTGAGCCAGGACACATACACCGTGCTGTCCCCGCTGCTGGTGAGTGAGCATGCTTGGGTCCTGGGAGGGGTCCCTAGGGCAGATACACATGCCACAGTCTCTGGCGTTTAAAGGCCATGTGCTGGGTTTATGACCCGGTGCCCAGGGCTCTACATTGTGCACTGCAAACCCAGTGCTGATGCCAGATTCTTCTGGTGCGATTCCAGCCCAAGGAATTAAATGACACTATTTTCCATTAGCGGATTCATGCTGCTTACACCTGGGACCATTCCCCATCCCACTTCTGAGGGATCTGCCCGGCACCCAGAAAGCGCCCTGGGGATTAACTCCAAGGGTTTTCACTCCGGGACATGATCCTGAGGAGTTAACAGGCGCAGCCCTCCTTTGGTTTGCAGGAAAATATTTGACCTCAGCTTTTCAGGACTCTAATGCTCCCCGTCACAAAATCGCCTCTGCCCAGATCCCCCTTCCCTGCTCCGTGGCAGATGCTGAAGTTTCCAGATGTGCCGTCAGGAATGGCGAAATAGGGGCTCTGGTGAATGTCTCCTGCATTCTGGCCACATGGCCGCTCCCAGGCCATCTTCCCAGCTCCGTGCCCCAGTGCACTGCACACTGGGGCTGAGGGTCGGTGGGGGCGTCAAACTGAGTTTGGAGATTCCACGTCTTGCTGAGGAACCGGGCTCCCCCAAATTCTTTTGCCTTTGACTCTCTGCTTTGTGCTGCAGGAGATGCTCAGAGTCAAGGACCGGGCCCGGCTGCAGAGCCCCGATCACCAGCATGCCCTGCTGGCCATCTCATACATAGGGTACGTCCATGGGGCCTGACTCAGCTGCGGAGCCCAGCAGCCGGGGAGGGGCAGATGGAGGGAGAGGAAGTGGGGGCGGGACGAGCTGCAATAAGAACCGGAGGATGTTTCTCCCTGGTGACTCACTAACGGGCCATACCCTCCTCGACCTCCGGGTCACTTTATCCAGCCCCCATCTCTGCGTATTGCCTGGTAAGAGAGAGCCCCTCCCGTCAGCATGAAGTGCTGTGACGGCGCAGGGTGCAGGCGCAGAGCAGGGCCCAGGATCAGCCCCGGAGAGCAGCTTCCCCAGCAGAGCCCCTGTCGGGCCCAGGGGGCATAGGCATCTCCAGACAGGACCATTCCCTAGGCGGTGGCTCTGCTGGAGATGCCCCCTGGAGCTCTGCTGCTAAGGGAGGGAGCTGTCCCTCGAGCCATCAAACTCAACCTGACTCATGCCAGGACCTGTCTACGTTCTAATGGCCCCGCCTGCTCCGTTCCTTCCAATCAGGAAATTTGAGCCTCGCCTGTCTAAGGAACAGGAGGCTGAGACCATCAGCACTTGTATCACCAGCGCCATGATTCAGCGCCCAGCCCTGGCGAAGCTGAGAGGGACTGAGGTGGCAAAAAGCTCCGCTATCCGGGCAGAGGTTAGTGAGGCATGGACAAAGCTTCCACCTGGCTCCTTGGCTGGGAAACTCAGCCACCCCCCTGGCTGAGTAGCTGGACCCTGGCCCGATGCAGAGAGCTGCGTGTCCAGCCAAATCCAGCCCCTCGGTTTATTTTCCAAAGGGCTGGTGACAAGTGGCTACGCAGTTAACTCTGCAGTGGGGTTGGCAGGGAGAACAGCTGTAGAGGTGAGTGTCTGTGAGACTGTACAGAATTACCCTGGATTCTTGGCACAGGGAACTAGAAGCTACCCCCAGTTTACACCAGATGAGGCTCTGGCCCAGAGCATTAAATAGCATTTGGTGCAGAGGGAGCAAAGCATGGATTCGGGACAGCCACACGGCCAGGCCATGACTCGCCCTGCCACAGAAACAGAGATTGGCTGGAGCGGGATGAACAGCTCAGCCCTTGGGGAGCCAGCGGGGTGTTGGGGAGCAGCTGGGGCCCCTCCAGAGCGGGAGGGAGGAAGCCTTCCCTCCAGAGCCCAGCTCAGTACATGTGTTGGGGAGCCCAGGTGGGAGGAAGGATTCTTTGGGGTAGGGCAGACCGTGGTCCAGGTGAGACCCATGTCTATGTGCAGGGGGATCAGTATCACCTGGGTAAAGGGACCCCGAATACCAACAGCACCTGGCTCCAGACCGGGGGATCCACTCGTCCCCCTGCCTCGTGCACCCCACCTCCCTTGCTATTTACTTCCCTGCTTCTCTCTCTGCTCCAGTCACTCCAAGAACTGCCCTGGGAGGGCCTGGATCTTGTGCTGCAGACATTCCTGGAGCAGCACCTGACCCCCACCACGCTACTGCATCTCTTTCTCGTATGATAGGGAGGGGGGAGGGGCCCATTCGCACTGGCCATCTGGGGATGGGCCGGCTGGTCAGGTTCTACCCGAACCACAAGAGGGAAGGCTCCAGTTGATCCCGAGGGGGCTGAGCAGGTCTCCCAGCTGCTGTGAACTACCCAGTCCCCATGGGGCATACACCCAACCCTGGGATCCAGCAAGACAATCCTAGTCCTGCTCCAGGGGTGTCACTTTGGCCTCCTACATTTGGCCTGGAGCCCCTGTTCCCCTGAAGGAAACAGCCCCGAGACCCTACAGGATCAATGGGGAGAATCCTCAAAGCGCTGAGCCCAAGACCCTCAGACCTGTGCCAACGCCCCCCAGACAGGAGAGGAGCGCTGAGTTCCAGTGTCCGGAAGTGGAGGAGAAGAGGTTAAATGCTCCATGTCCTCTCCCTGCTGGGGCGGGAAGCAGGTTCTGGAGGTCGCCCCGGCATTGCTGCCGCTCACACCACTTTCTCCCTGCTCCCCAGCACTTGCAGCCGTGGATCTGCTCTCCCCGGGCCCAGGAGAGGAGCCGAGCTGTGAGAGCCAGCGCCCGGCTCTTCATGTTCTACCGCTTCAAAGCCATCACCGAGGTGAGCAGCGCAGACCCTGCTGCCCCCCGCCCCCTCCCAGCACTCACGGGAAGCGGGGGGGAGGGAATACAGACAGAGCTGGGCTCGCCCCGACCTATGTCCTCAATTTCTGTTTGGTGGCCCATTAGGACCTGAAACCCATGGCAGAGCAGGGCTACATGGCCGGGCTGCTGACAAGCCAGGCCTTCGATGCTCAGGAGGCCACCAGATACTGGGCATCTCAGGCTCTCTACTGGCTCTTCACGCCTTGCAAAGGTAAGATAGAGCGGAAGCAGTCGCCACTTCTCAGCCTTCACAGCCCCGGCCGTTACCTAGCGAGCAGGGCTGCAGAGAGAACATGGCGCCTTCATCGCAGCCCTGACCAGAGGGACACAGAGCAGAAGTGGGTTGGTACCTACCGGGGTGACCTGGCATCTGCCCTTCACCAGGTGCCTGGGACCATCTGGGACCTCCCCTGATCCCACCCCAGCCCCAACACACCTTCTACATCAGTGTGAAGGGTGGGCAGTTGGCCCAGAAGCCAGCTGAGAGCTCACCCTAGCTGGTCGTTCCCAGCTGCGGCCGGAGTCTGGCTCTTTGGCACCTCTGATCTGTCTCGAAGGGGAGAGGGAAGAATCCAGCCCCGAGAGCTCTGCCTGAGCACTGGTGGTTTCTTGTGCAGCTGTCGTGTACAGCAAGACCGGGGCAGTGGTGAGCGTGCTGAGCAAGACGCAGAAGGATGCCAGCTGCAGAGAGAACCCTGTCCATGTTGCTATGGTGAGTAAAAGACTGTGGCTGGAGAGACAGACACACACATGGGAAAGGGGGGTTATTGTCTCCTTCCCTCGATGAGGAGCCG